GGAGAATACTGAAAGTGCCATGGACTGTCAAAAGAACCAATAGATCTGTTTTGGAAGAAGTGCAGCCAGAGTGCTCCTTGGAGGCCAAGATGGCCAAACTTTGTCTCCCATACTTTGGACATATTGTTAAGAAGGACCAGTTGCTGGAGAAGGATACCATGTTTGGTAAGGTGGAGGGTCAGAGAAAAAGAGGAAGGCCCCCAATGAGATGGATTGGCCAAGTGACAGCATCGATGGACTCAAGCATGGCAACAGTAGTGAGGTTGGCCCAGGATCGGGCAGAGCATAAGATTCTGCTGTGCATAAGGTTGCTATGAGTTGGTACTGACTTGATGGCACCTAACAACAACAACAACAACAACAAAAGAAGAAATTGCAAACTGCAACAAGTTGCATCAGATCTCCACAAAAATTGTTTCCTGTCTCTCTCTTGACCTGTTTCTCCTGGAATCCAGAGCAGTCCACATTAAGCCATTGAAGAAAGGCTTCCTGTACCTATCCCAACAAGGACCAGTTTCTTGCCTGTGTGCCTTGCCATTCCTAATTCAGAGAGTTCTTCTTCCTCCCCCACACCTTCCCCATGATGCTTGTTTCTTTCAGTCAGATGAAAGGCATGGTGGGAACCCCAGAACTGAAGGATGAAAGCCACAATCCACTGGTCCTAGGGGCTCTGGAGTCTGCAGCACAAACCAGTGGTTGTCCTATCTCCCACAAACCATGTGCTTGTCCAAGTAAAATAAAGGAAGGCATGAGGCATGGAGGGGAGGGAGAATGTAGACTTTGGGGTTTCAGACTTGAATACAAGTCCTAGTTCTATCAAGTTGCTCTCCAAGCCCGTTTCTGTACCACTAAAATGGGATGACAATACCAGCCTTTCGGTTAGCTTATGGTTAGCAGTCCAGTTCCTACCCTACACTGCCACACTTGGATTCTACCCATTACCCTTTGTTGTTGTTGTTGTTAAGTGCTGTTGAGTCGGTTCCAACTCATAGTGGCCCTGTAAAGAGTTTCCAAGGAACAGCTGGTGGGTTTAAACCATAGACCTTGTGTTTCGCAGTCCAGTGCTGATCCTACAGTATCACACCAGGGGTCCACTCATTGCCCTAGACACTATTTTAAATTGCCCCAAAGTCTTAATGAGGACAAAAACTACCAGTAAAATAACACAGTATTAAGTAGAAAGCAATTCTCAAACCTTTAGCTGCATACAAATCATGTGGAATGCTTATTAAAACTGTAATTTCCTTGTTGTTGTTAGTTTCCTTGGAAATGATGTCATCTTATGATGATCTAATGTGTTACAAAATAGAACTGCTCCACGGGGTTTTCTTAGGTATTCTTAATGGAAGCAGATCGCCAGGCCTTTTCTTTCATGGTACACTGAGGTGGTTCAAACCACCAACCTTTAGGTTAGCAACCAAGCACAAACCACTTGCACTACCTAACAACCTGCATAATCTCCTTATCCATACCCATTGTTTCCAGTGGATTCCAACTCATAATAACTGTATAGGACAGCATAGAACTACCCCATAGGATTTCCAAGGCTGTAAACCCTACAGAGCAGCTGGCAGGTTCAACCAACAATTTTTCAGTTAGCAACCTAATACTTGATCACTGCACCACCAGGCTGCTTGCATAACTTCCTTGTTGTTGTTAAGTGTCATCAAGTTGGTTCTGACTCATAAAGGCCCTGTACAGAGTTTACAGGGAGCGGTTGGTGAGCTTGAACCTCCAATCTTGTAGTTCAAACCGACACTGCATTAACTCGCAGTGCCACACAAGTACTCCATAACTTCCTTAGCACTCCCTTTATACACACAATACAATGGGCTTAGGGTGGGGTGGGTCTGACACTAAGGATCTTGGGACCACACAGGAGAAAATGCTGCTGGACCAATTTTGCTAATAAGTGTCATCTACACATGTGGGGGGTGTACGGAGGCACCATACAACAAGCACTGGACTGCAAACCACAAGGTCTGCAGCTTGAGCCCACCAGCTGCTCAGTTTTGTTGTTGTTGTTAGATGCCATCTAGTCAGTACCAACTCATAGAGACCTTATGCACAGCAGAACGAAACACTGCCCATTCCTGGGTCAACCTCACTACTGTTGCCACGCTTGATTCCATCGATGCTGCCACTTGGCCAGTCCATCTCATTGGGGGTCTTCCTCTTTTCAACCTTACCAAAAATGATATCCTTCTTCAGTGACTGGTCCCTCCTGATAATATGTCCAACGTATGAGAAACAAAGTTTGGCAATCTTGGCCTTTAAGGAGCACTCTGGCTACACTTCTTCCGAAACGGATCTATTGGTTCTTTTGGCAGCCCATAGCACTTTGAATATTCTCCTCCAACACCATAACTCAAAAGCATCAATTCTTCTATGGTCTTCCTTATTCACTGTCCAGTTTCGCATGCATATGAGGTTATTGAAAACACCATAGCTTGTGTCAGGTGCACCTTAGTCCTCAAGCTAACATCTTTGCTCATCAACACTTTTAAAAGGTCTTGTGCAGCATATTTGCCTAATGCAATATGTCATTTGATTTCTTAACTGCTGCTTCCATGAGTGTTGATAGTTGATTCAAGAAGAACGATGTCCTTGACAACTTCAATCTTTTCTCCATTGATAAGAATGTTGTTTATTGGTCCAGTGGTGAGGATTTTTGTTTTCTTTACATTGAGATGTAATACAAACTGAAGCCTGTGCTCTTTGATCTTCATGAGTAAATGTTTTAAGTCTTCTGCTCAGTAGGAAAAAGAAAAGCTTTTCTGCTCCTATAAAAAGTTTTAGAGCCTTAGAAACTCTATTCAGGATTGCTACAAGTCAAAACTGACTGCATGGCACTTAACAACATGCGATTGTCATAAGATGGAATCAACATGATGGCAATTGGTTAACACAGCACACAAAGAAGGCATTAGGGCTAAAATACTAACCTAAACACACATTCAGTCACCCAACTTTCATTAAGCTTTGACCTTGTGTTCAGACGTAGACTCTGTCAAGTTTTGGGTTAACAAATGAAGCAGACGGAATGTTTTATCTTTCCAATCTTGTAGGGAGAAAAAGAAGTGACCCACTAAACTTCTTGCCTTCTTCAGTATCTAATTAAGAAATGTGGGCCCTTTCATGAGCAGCAATTGTTTTACTTGTGCCATTCCAGGTCTAAATTCTTTGTGGCTATAATATTTATGCCCTTCCAACTCGATCCTGTCCCTCCAGGTTTTCTGTTGAGAAGTTAGCAAATTGTGGGTAAACCTAGTTTGGGTAAACTAGGTAAATCTGGTTCAGTGACTAGGAGATGTCACCTCTGTCACCTCCTCTTCCTCCATTTGCTCCCAACCTCAGGACAGGGATTGGGTGAAGGAGACAGAAAAAAGAGGGAGGGGCAAGGCTAAGGTAGGAAATCTTCTGTACCTGTTGCATGTGCTTCTTCAATGTAAATGATGAGAAAGTCTGCTATGGAACTAAAGTCTTCTATAAGTCTCTTGAATTGGTCAAATTTGGAAAGAAATGAAGGTCAGGTGCAGCTTCCAAAATTCAGTACCAATGGCCTGGTGCCTAAAACAGAAGATGAAATCTTGTAAACCAAGAATCTACACACAGTTGAAGGACCATAGCCTCATGGGACAACTCATTCAGTTAGCATAATATAGTTCATAAAAACCATGATCTGCATCCTAGTGAAGCAAGTAGCATTGAAGGTCTTAAAAGCTTGTGAACATGCCGGGAAGCCTTCAAAGTAAGCAATCAAGTCCTTCAGGACACACTTCTCCCTAAGACTGAAACTCAAAGGGAACACATGAGCAGGCATGTAAGCTTGCTGGCAACCACATTGGTCTACTGGAGAGTAGAATAGGGGGAAAGGCAGCAATGAAAATATGGGCTGATTTTGACTACGTTCCATAGACTCCCATCCACCTGGAGATGAGAACGATAAGTGGAAGGGCTGGTTGGTCCAAAGTGTGGTGAGACCTTGGGACACCGGAGCCCATGAACAAAGACATAGCCATGGAGGGCCAGAACTGGAAGTGTAGCATCCAGCTGATAAGAAGTGAGGGGAGACACATAAGAATACTCAAAGTTGCAGATAGTACCCATTTGACCTAGCCTTGGAGGAGAATATTGAAAATGCCATGGGCTACCAAAAGAACCAACATATCTGTGTTGGAAGAAGTGCAGCCAAAGTGCACCTTGGAGGCCAAGATGGCCAAACTTCATCTCTCATACTTCGGACATATTGTCAGGAGAGTCCAGATATCCCTGGAGAGGTATATCATGTTTGGTAAGGTGGAGGGTCAGAGAAAATGAGGAAGACCCCAGCGACATGGATTGGCAAAGTGCAAAGTGGCAGCATCAATGGGCTCAAGCGTCGCAACAATTGTGAGGTTGGCCCAGGATCAGGCAGTGTTTCGTTCTGTTGTGCATAAGGTCACTATGAGTTGGTACCAACTTGATGGCATCTAACAACAACAACAATACCTAACAACAACAGTCCAGAGAAGCAGACACACCAGAGATGGAGGCAGAGATGAGGACATGGAGAGATAGAGCAGCTGAGGACTCTAGACACGTGGAAAGAGAAAGGCTGTGTGCTGGTGACCAGGTGGCAGGCTTACAGAATGTGCTCTTTGGTTGTTTAAATGATTATGTATTCCTGAGTGTTTTTGTATACCTTCCAAAAAAACAAAAAACAGAGGGATTAGAAGCAAATACTGTTGAAAGATGATGCGTGGAGGAGATATAATCATTGCAATGAAATGATGAGTGTAAAACCAATGTTCTCCCATATAAACTATCACTCAATTCACAATAAAAACTTTAATAATAATTTTTTTAAAAGCTTGTGAACAGCCAATCTGTAAGACACAATTACAGATCTTGACTCACCAGGAACAAATCAGTAGGAAGGTAACCAAAACCACAGAGAAGATATAAGAATCATAACTTCATCTACTCTGAGACAGGAAGAACTAGATGGCACCTGGCTACCACTACTAACTGTTCTGACTACAATAGTTGGTTCCAGATAGAATGGGAAAAAGTATGAAGAACTCAATTTCTTATTTTAAAAAAAAATCCAGAGACACTGGAATAGTAGAAAACAGAAGACCCCTGAGACACTCTTTAAACCTAGAACAGAGCAGTTGAGATCACCTTTTAGCAAAATAACTGAGTGACTGTAAATAACATTAGCCATAACATTAGTGCCCTAGTTAAAAGCCATCAGTATGAGACCAAATTTTGACAATTTCTCAAAAGCACCTTTGAGAAGGTAAGGGCTCAGAGAAGCTAGAGTACTGGAAAGGGAACAAACAGAAAACAATAAAAGAGAATGTTAACATATGTGATCAATGTGATTAATGTCACCAAAAAGATTGCGTGAACTTGTCCCATGAGAACCTAAACTTTCTGTGTAAACAATAACAAAAAGAATCTACACACAGCATTTCGTTTGCAAGCATGTTCTTGACTCCCACATTCAATTCATTACCTTGTTTCCCCTCCAGGATGGATCCAGGATGCAGTGGAGGTGGGGGGTAGGGGTGGAATCTGATGCTACAAGGAGGTGTTGGTGTGGTGATTTACCATGGAGTCAGTTCTGACTCACAGAGACCTTGTATAGGGTTTCTAAGGCTGTAAATCTTTACAAGATCCGAAAGTGTCATCTTTCTCCTGCGGAGTGGCTGGTAGTTTCAAACTGCTGACCTTGTGGTTCGCAGCCCAGCTCCTAACCCACTATGCTACCAGAGCTCCTTAATGCTACAAGGTTGTTGTTGTTAAGAGCCATTGAGTTGGTTCTGTCTCATAGCGACCTTATATAAGGTTTCCTAGGAGCCAGTGGTGGGTTTGAACTGCCGACCTTGCAACTCAAGCTGTACATGATCCTACAGCACCACACCAGAACTCTGATACTACCAGGTAGATACTCTGATTTCTTTTTCCATTTTACCAAGACACTAAGCTTTGTAGACTTGCTCCAAGTGGTCATTAGCAAGTGGATTTAATAATAGCATTTACCTTATAGGATTGCTATGAAGATTAAATAAGTTAATGTAGTTATTAAACTGAACCAAATCCATTGCCATCAAGTCAATTCCCTATTTGGTGTTTTCAAGACTAAATCTTTACCGGAGTAGACAATCTCAACTTTCTCCCATGGAGCAACTGGGGGATTTGATCTGCCGACCTTGAGGTTAGCTGTCTAATGCCTAACCCACAGCACCACCAGGGTTCCTTAGTTAATGTAGCTAAGGCTTAAAATGGTGCCTGATCCATAGTAAGGTGCTTGATAAACGTAAGCTGTTATGTTCAGCTATTGTTTCCAACCTGAGCTATGAAATGGGGGAGGCAGTGAAACCAGAGGATCCATACAAACAAATGGCAGCAGGACTAGCTACAAGATTTGTGGGGTCCATTGTGCAATTAAATTGCAGGACCCCTTGTTCAAAAAGTGAGGATAATGTGCCATTAAAGGTATTAAAATATAAAGCTTTTTCTTCTCTTCTGTGTTCCCTTTCTTGACCTGTTAGGTTGTTTTCTCATTTCTATTTAGTGGCATGGTTCCTTGGGTGCAGGGATACTCAGGGTAGCATCAGGCCCTCACAGGAGCCCCACAACTCGGCATGTATGCGCACAGACTTCTGCAGTCACTGACTGTTCCCAGTTTCTTCCTGCCTCTAGCCACCAGACCAGCACACCAGGTCATCATGGTCAGGGTCAGGGGAGTTGAGCCAAGTATTTTCCATTTCCACCTGTTGACATTCCAACCTCTTTTCAGTGACGTGCTAGGTGATAGGTAAGAGGTTTCTCCCTGCCAAGTTCCCAATCCCTTGACGTGCCAAATGACCATGGTTCTGCCAGCCTATGATGAGACAACCTCCTTCATACCATGCGCTGAAGTGCTGCACGGTGGTTGTGCCCTCTCTAGCACCAGAGGGTGGTAGTGGACACTGGCTGGGGGACAAGAAGATGAAGGGGTGCCGTGGACTAGAGGAGTGAGTGGTAGAGAACACAGCCCAAGGAGGCTGCGGAAGCTGGGCCTGTGCACTAGCTCAGACTCTGATGACTGAGATATTCTCGATGGTCCCATCACTTCACTTACAAAACACAAATTCAAAGGTAAAAGTCTTAAGAATTTTAGGACATCTATTGTAAAACATTAAGGATCCCTGGTGGCACTGTAGGATAAGTTAACCACACACTACTACACAGGAGAAAGAGAAGACTTTCTGCTTCCATAAGATTTAGAGCTTCAAAACCCTGTACAGGGTCGCTATGAGTCAGAATCGGCACAAAGACAGTGGGTAGTTTCTATTACAGAACATTAAGCCTCCAGGCCTTTTGAGTGTGGCACCATGAAGCTGGTCCTGGGTGGGAGACTTCAGTAACTCTCCTAGCCTAGACTGGGGAAAACTCAGGAGTGCTCCTAGGACCCTGTTGTCACTTATGGCCAGAGTCCTTACTCTACATCCATTGGAATTCAGTTGTCCCTGCATTGTGATATGGCCTGTTGATGTGTCTGCCCCCCCCCGCTCCTCGCCCCCCCAGACCACTCCTCATCCTCAGGTCCCTGGTACTGAGTACTTTCACTCTATCTACAACCATTTACTCAGCACTTCCAATGAGCACAGCGCTCTGCCATACACGCTCTCAGCACAGAACAAGACCAGCAGGTCTCTGCCTGCTAAGATCTGTTTAGTGAGACAAGCAATAAACAAACACATAAGTGAAGTAATTTCAAGTCATGGTAAATGTTACAAAAGAGACTGTAAAGGAATGACCTGCATTAGACAGATGACCAGTGAAGGCCTCTGAGGAGGTATCATCTAACCTGAAAAAGACAGGAAAGAGTCAGTCATGGGCAAAGGGAGGAGAAGGGCATTCCAGGCAGAGGGTCCCAATGTACAAACGTCCTGAGGAAGGACAGTGCTTGGTGAATTCAAGGACCCAGATATCCATAGTAGTCAAAGACAGGCAGGGAAATGATGAAAAATGCAATTGGAGAAGTACTTATCTGTCAGAGCAGCCGGGCTCTCGGGCCTTGTGAAAGAATCTAGATTGTATGCTGGTGGTGGTAGTGGTGGTGTGACGTGCAGTCGGTTCCCACTCAAAGCGACCCTGCATAGGGTCCCAAGACTCAAAAAGAAAAAAGAAAAAAAAAAATTCCAGCTGTTACGTGAGAGAAAGATGAGGCTTTCTGCTCCTGTAAAGATTTACAGCCTCAGAAACCCTATGCAGGGTCGCTATGAGTTGGAACCAACTTCACGGCATACCACCACCACCATAGAGGTCTTGGAGGTCCTGGAATGGCGCTGTTGCATAAGTGCTGGACTGCTAACCACAAGGTCGATGGTTCAAATCTACCAGCAGCTCCTTGGAAGTGCTATGAGTCGGAACCGACTTGATGGCACTTAACAATGACAACAACATATAGGTCTTTGATTCTAGAGTCACTGAGTTCATCCACGGTTCCATGGTAATGCCCTTGGAAAGGGTAGTGGAGTCCTCTAATAGCAATGGATCCTCATAACAATCACAGGGACCCAGTGATCCAGCTA